GAACCAATTTTTCAATAAAGACATATACAGAAACTTAATATGCAAAATACATGAAAGTAAAACTTTTGAGGCAAAGTTGAGAGTATCAAAAGCCAATTGAATCAAGGCTGGGTGGGGGATTGCAGGAGCCCAGCCCAGAGCTATATACCTCATTCCTTCCCCTATCTCCTGTGCGTACACAGGGGATCTAATGAATTCTTAGAGCTTGAAGTAAAGCCACAGATTTAGTGATGATCTAAAGTAGGTAATTCTATTGTCAATTCTGAGTTAATATACAAATAGCAGAAACACATAGACCATTCCTGAGTCATATGTAACATTTGGGAGCTCTGGTAGCATAGTGCCTAAGGCACTTGACTGCTAACCGGTAGACTGGCTATTCAAACCCACTAGCCACTCCTTGGAAGGAAGGTTGGGCAATCTACTTCCGTAGTGATATTGCCTCAGAAACCCAAGGAGGGGTCACTATGAGTCGGGTCCAACTCGAGGGGACATAACAACAACAACAACAAGTCTATCTAGAAACAATAGGTCTTAAAGTATCATTTGACAAGAAGTTCTACTTGTCGATTTCACCTACTCAAGAATCACAGTTTTGAAGATAATAGTTACTTTACAATATATACAACAGTATCAAAAAGTTTATTTAACTCATGACTTTATGAAGATAATAGATCAGTTGAAAGTTATTTATCTCAAATATGGCATAAGAACAATAATGTGTTCTATCATATAATTAATTTAAGACTAGTTGTATGCAGCAAACTATAAAGAGTGTATGAACTTGTACCATACATGCAGTTTCTTTGCATTTAGGAACCAAGGAACCAACTAACCAACATAATAACTAAGGGATTGTCTTTCAAGGTGAACACAGATTTCCCCACATGAGGCAAAAATAAGAAGAAATTGACATACCGCCAACTGCAGTAGCTGCAGTAGCAGTCATTTCTGTTTAACAAACCTTCCTTCCAAGGAGTGGCTGGTGGGTTGGAACCGCCAGCCTTCTGGTTAGCAGTCAAGTGCCTTAGACACTATACTACCAGAGCTCCTCATTACATACCTAACATCACGACTGCCGATCATAACAACTACCTTCACAGAGTTGCAAGGGCTGTTCAATGAATACCTCTATGTCCTTCACCTAGAGCCATCCATTGTTTGCTGCATTTGCTTTATCTCTGAAAAAGAGATAATTTTAATGCAGTTTTGCAACAGTTTATGTGGATGTGCAAACCTGAGGTCATGGATCCATGGGGGAAGGAGTCAAAGGTTGATTTAGCAAATATTTTCCAGAGTATTCTGTTGAAATCAATATGTACCTGTCTTCAACAAAGAGCTGATGAGTGGGAAAACCACTGTTTAGTAGGTGAGCAAAGCTTAGCTTAAGCCTGGCAAGTTCTTTTAAGTTGAAGAGAGAACAGTATGACAAATATGTTATCTTGTCTCCTTGGTTTCAAAGGGTTACTCTTTTACTATGTGGAAATGGAGGAGATGGTGGCCAGCTCTTGTTTAAGAATTAATTTGAATTTCTTCTTCAACTGGAAATTCCTCACCACACTATTTGCTTCTATGATG